GCATCCTCAAAATGTTTCCTCCAAGTTTCTGCTACACAATCTTCGTCACTTTCATCTTCCACTTCGTACTATTAGCTCCTCAAACTTTGTCTCTTGATCCGAAGTTTAAGGCTTGTGAGCCCAAATCATGTGGCAAAGGTCCCGAGATTTCCTTTCCATTCTATCTTTCAGACAAGCAAGACTCCTCTTGTGGATATCCCAGCTTCGAACTCAGTTGTGACGATGAACTAGAGCTCCCTGTTCTCGGGATCTCCGGTGAGGATTACGTCATCAAGAACATATCTTACTCGACACAGTCGTTTCAGGTCGTGAACTCAAAGGCCTCTCATGATCCATGTCCGATCCCTCTGCATAATCTTACCCTCCATAGGACTCCTTTCTCTGTGAGCCCTTCTCATGTCAACTTCTCCATGTTTTACAATTGCTCCGACTACTTGCCAGATGATTTTACGATATACCCTCTTACTTGCTCTGGCAACACAAGTCTTCGATCTTTCGGGATCTTCCGGAGGGAGATCAAGGACAAGTATTCATACAGGTCGTGCCAGAAACTAGTCGAAGTTCCTGTTTCAGCTAGTGGCGAATCTGATGTGAAACTGTTTTTGGGTATGGCTTATGCCGAGATTTTGAAAAGGGGTTTTGTTCTGAATTGGACTGCACACAGTTGTAACCGCTGCAATAGTAGCGGCGGGCGATGTGGAACTAATAATAAGGAATTCGTTTGCTTTTGTCCTGATGGACCTAAGATTTATGATACTTGCAAGAATGGTAATCACTCATATAATTTAAGTAACTAATCTTGTGGAATTTGATTTCATACTTCTTTGCTTGTGTTTTGTCACCCGAGTTTGTATGTTCTTGAGAATTCTAAATATATTGAACTCCACTGACTGTTTCAATCTTCCTGGTGAAACAGGTGATAAAAAAAAATTGGGGCTGAAGATCGGCATAGGTAAGATTTTTTGTTTCCAGGTTCTGTTTTGGTAAAATGCATAAAATCCTCGACTTTGAGATAAAGAACCAACATTCAAATAGATTAGATTCTGATTTATATTCTTGAGCCTTGACACCATCTGCGATTTGGTTACAGTTGTTAGGTTATGCTCCTCTATGCTCTGTTTTCGTTTTTCATCTGTTTCAAGTCTTAACAGATTACAAAATCCCACTCAGGTATTGGGGCCGGGGTCCTGGGATTAATAGCAGCGAGCATCTGTTGGTTTGTGTACCATCGTAAAAAAACCAAAAGCTATAGAACTTCTTCAGCATTGCTTCCAAGAAACCTCTCCTCAGAGCCATCTTCAAAGTCTTCAGACGTTGAGAAAGCAGAGGAATTGTTAGTCGGAGTTCGTCTCTTCTCTTTCGAAGAGCTCGAAGAAGCCACTAATAACTTCGACCCGTCTAAAGAACTCGGTGATGGAGGCTTTGGTACTGTCTATTACGGTAAACTTAAAGATGGACGAAGTGTAGCTGTAAAACGATTATTCGAGAACAACTTCAAAAGAGCAGAGCAATTCAGGAATGAAGTTGAGATCTTAACGGGTTTACGCCATCCCAACCTCGTGGCTCTATTTGGATGCTCCTCAAAACAGAGCCGAGACTTGCTGTTAGTGTATGAGTATGTTGCAAATGGCACGTTAGCTGATCATCTACACGGTTCACAGGCTAACCCGAGCTCACTTCCTTGGTCTACTCGTCTTAAGATCGCTGTTGAAACCGCCTCTGCCTTGAAGTATCTTCACGCCTCCAAGATCATTCACCGTGATGTTAAGTCCAACAACATCCTTCTCGACCAAAACTTCAATGTCAAGGTCAGTAACTCACACTGCCAAATCAGAACCAGAACTAAATCCTAAATCAATGATTTGGTCTGATCATAATCTTTAATATTTTTGCTTGTTTTTGGACAATTAGGTTGCGGATTTCGGACTTTCAAGACTGTTCCCGATGGACAGAACGCACGTATCAACCGCTCCACAAGGAACTCCAGGCTACGTCGACCCGGATTATCACCTCTGCTATCAACTCTCCAACAAAAGCGATGTGTACAGCTTTGCGGTAGTGTTAATGGAGCTTATCTCATCGCTTCCAGCAGTCGATATCACAAGACCTCGACAAGAGATCAACCTCTCGAACATGGCAGTCGTTAAAATACAGAACCACAAGCTCCAAGACATGGTGGATCCTTCACTCGGGTTCGACACGGATACAAGAGTGAGACAGACCGTGATCGCAGTCGCTGAGCTTGCGTTCCAATGCTTACAGTCGGATAAAGATCTTAGGCCGTGTATGTCGCACGTGCAAGAGACGTTGACAAGGATACAGAACAATGCGTTTGGTTCGGAAGTGGATGTTGCAGATGTGAGTAAGAGTGGACCGTTACAGTCTCCTGATAGTGTAATTGTGAAATGGGACAGTAAGTAAATTAGTCACACGGGTGCTAACATTTGTATGTGTTTATTAATGTTTAATTTTTTTTTTTTTAATTAACAGTTAGAGATTGGTGTTTGTGTTCTGTATTAAATGATAATTTTGGGAATGCTGTATATATGACTTTAAAGCCATTGTTTTGTTTCCAAAATTTCCTAATTAAAGCACACAAATTTAAGGCATAGATGCTTTTACTAGAGTAAATTGTCTTAGACTAGATACAATGGTGTGTTGTAATTTTTTTACAATTGTTGAACAAAGAATAATGGATTAGTTGTATAATGTGTGATACATATGTGGCAAAATCAGTGTTGTTAAATAACAACACGTTGATAGACGAAAAATCAGACAAAAATGGGACCATTTTTGCCACATTTAAATAATTTCAGCGATAAAAAAAATTTAGTTGGTCTCCACTTTTTTTTT